CACAGACTATAAGCCTTCAAACCTTTAAACTATTTCTATCTCTGTAGGTCCGAGTTTTGGAGCTCTGTCTTGCCTCTTTTTTGCCTGGAATTCTGAGTTATTGCTGACGGCGACCTTCACTAAACCTTCACCCTAGCCACCATCAATCTCTGCCTCTCCCCCCTCTACTTTTTTTTTTATCTTTGCTGTTATTGCTGGAGTGAGATGATATCTCATTGTTGTTTTGATTTGCATCCCTCTAATGGCTAGTGATAATGAACATTTCTTCATGTTTGTTGGCTGCCTGGATCTTCTCCTTGGTGAAATATCTATTCATGTCCTGTGCCCATTTTTTAATTGGGTTATTTCCCTTTTCTTGTAGATGTGTTGTAGTTTCCTATATATTTTAGAAATATGTCCCTTGTCTAATGTGTCATTGCAAAAGATTTTTTGCCATTCTGTGGGTTCCCTTTATACTCTTCTGATGAAGTCTTTTGATGCATGTAAGTTCTTAATGCACTCACCTATTTTGTCTGCTTTTGTTTGTGTAGTTTTCAAAATGTTTGGTAGTCTGTGTATTCCCTGAATTATTTCCTCACATTTGTCCCATTTTTTCATTGATGGCCTTCATAATTCTGGGATTCAAACTTAGGGCTTTAATGCATGTTGACTGGGTTTTTGTATAAGATGTGAGGTGAAGGTCTTCTTTCAATATTTGCATATCACTTTCCAGTTCTGCCATCACCATCTGTTGATTCTATATATTTAGGTGTTTTTTTTCAGGCTTCTTTATCTCTTATGTTGGTTTTTGCATTAAAGCATATTTTACCAGAGATCAGTATTGCCACTCCTGCTTGCTTTTTATTGCCATTAAGTTGGTATATATATGTTTTTTCATCCTTTATCTTTTAGTCTGTTTTTGTATATGTGTGCTAAGTGTGTCTTTCGCAGGCAGCATATTGAAGGGTCTTGTTTTCATATCCATTCTGCCACTCTCTGTCTCTTCATTGGTGCATTTAATCCATTGACATTCAGTGTAATTATCGATAAGCATGAATTGATTTCTGTCATTATGTTAATTTTTGTGGTACTGTTTATCCTTTGTTCTGCATGCCTTCTTGTTCTGCATTCCTATTTTTTTCTGAGTTTCCTCTTAGTTTTAATGTTTCCTTGTTCTATTTGGATATTCACTTTCATGGTAAGTTGTGAAATATTAACTTTCTTTGAGGTTACCCTATAGTCTACTAAATTTGCCTCCAATTAGGAGAGTCTGTTGTATCTTGCAATCTACCCAACCTCCTCACTATTTGGATCTCTGTTCCTATATTTTCCCCTTTCTTTGACATTATTATTATTTTGATCTTTGAGTGGTCTCACAGATCTTGTGAATTCATTGTTGTAATTTTTGTCTGTTTCTGAACTTTGCTCTATGATGAGTGTATTATAGGTGATGTTGCCACATCTGGCAATCTCTGGTTTTTGTCTGCTCTTGTAGTATATCATTCCAAAGAACTCCCTTTTGTTGCTTTGAAGTGCTGGATTAGCTTTTAAGAAATACCTTAACTTCTGTTTATCCTGGAATGTTTTGATTACACCATTGAATTTGATTGAGAATTTTGCTGGGTAGATGATTCTTGGTGGGCATTTTGTTTTGTTTTGTTTTTTGGGTTTTATATGTGTCTGTCCATTGCCTTCTTGCTTTCATGGTTTCTGCTGAAAGGTCAGAGCTAAATTTGATTTACTTGCTTTTGTACATAATACTGCTCTTTTCTCTCTCTAGTTTAGGACTCTCTACTTGTCTTTGATTTTGGAGAGCTTGATTATGATATGTATTGGTGATTTTCTTTTGGGTTCTATCTTTCCTGAAGTTCATTCAGCTTCTTGAATGCTTATATTTTCATCCTTCAAGATGTTAACGAAATTATCTTCCAGATTCTCCTCAACAATCTGCTCTGTGGACTTATGTGATTCTTCCTGTGGGGAATGCCAATTCTTTTTATCATTTTTTTCTGCTTGTTCTTCTTTCTTAGTCATATTGAGATATATGTCTCCCAGGTTTCTGGTTCTGACTTCCATCTCTTCATTTCTACTCCTTTGCCCTTTCAGTATATTGTCCATTTCTGATATCTTATTATTAATCATCTGGACCTGTTTTTGCAGGTTTTGAATTGTTTCCAGTGATATATCTATCTTGTTTGATTGTTCCTGTAGTACTTTCCTAACTTTTTCTTTGTTTTCCTTCACCCCGCTGTGGAGCATATGAAGTTGTCAACACATCATTCTTCTGAATTCCTTCTCAGGCAGATCCAAAGCCTTCTCTTCTTCTATTGGGAAGTTTATGTCTGCCTCCAACTCATTTCTCTCAGTTACTCTTTTCTGTTTGTTTGTTTGTTTATTCTTAGGATGTTTTCAATACTTAGATATGTATTCAATGAATAAATGAGTATATGTTGTGTTTTTAAGCTTATCGTGTGTCTCCTGGTGGATGTGATCTGGAGATCGGCATCCTTTTCATGTCTCTGATTACTCAGCTTCAGGCTATCTTAGCAAGTGATTGCTGTTTTTGTAATGCCTTGCAGCTGATATTGGCTCCTGTACAGATGGTGCAATATTATGGGGTATGCTTGTAGCTTGGCTATATGACCATGATCACTGTCAATTCTTGGGTAACATACAGAGAGAAAGCTCCCACACCCAGGAAAAAAGTGAAACCAAAAGGATCATAAACAGAAGCAATATAGAGCAGAGACAAAAACCACCACACAAAACCAAAAATAAAACCATACCCATCTGTCCAGTAACCTTTGCTGCTCAAGTCAGCATATGTGCGCAGTAGAAACGTCCAGCAGTGGATTGGGGTCTCCGCTCACTCATTCACCTTCTCTAGTCACCACTGTGGAGATGTACAGATATATATTAAGAAATGAATTGAAGACAGATTGTCCACTATTTTCATCTCTGAAGGTTAGTTAGATATCTGTGTATGCACAGTGCAGTACTCAAAATATCTGCTTCCTTTTATATAGTAGTTGGTGCTGGCATTTGTCTTATGTTGGGGTTTACCAACGTGAAAATTTTTTTACCAAAATATTGGCTCTATGGCTATATCTGCTGTCTAATTTTAAGTAAGGCAAGAATAAAGTGTCCCACCCAGGTCAAATTTTGGGTTAAGTCCCAGAGTCAGATGTCAAAAGAAGCAGCCAAAAGATTAGCTTCTGGGACCACTGGGGATTTCAGGGAATTCCTCTTTGTGCCATGGGAAAATTGTACCCTGTGGGTGCAATGCTGGACCCTTCTGGATGTGTGTGCTCACCAGCCTGAAGGTGCCAGGCTGGGCAGAGAATGTGTAACAGGTGAGAGGAGGAAAGAAACATGAAAGAAAGAAGAAAAAAAAAAAAAAAAGCCATCACACCTTTTTTCCAGATGCCACTCTGTGACTACAGCTCTGTATCATACTGGCTGTGGCCCCACCCTCTGATCTCTGCCCAGGCTGAGGGGCCCACAGCCAAGATCCCAATCAACTTAGAAATCATTTTGTATTTCTTCTAAAGTCAGAATTCTCCGCAGGTGGGCGTGGAAAACTGATGCATCTCTCTCTCACACACACACACACACATGCACACACACTTCATATTCGATCTGAAATTGTGGAACAGTTTTGAGAAAGTGTCTTCTCTCTTTTTTTGTGCCTCCACCAAGGCACCTTCCCTATTTGTCTCTGCTTCTTCTGTCACTATTGAATTTTTTTCATGCTCTATTTTTTAAACTGTTGGCCCTCCTCTGGTGTGATTTTTTCAGCTTTGGCAATAAAGGGGATGACACTCATTTTTTCATGTAAATGCTTCATAAATTCAATATGCAGCGGTTTAAGCCCAAATCATGAGGGATCAATGAAATATAAACAACACTGCACTTTCTTGTCAGGTATCTGACATCTGTTCACTCGAAATTCTGCATTTAGGTAGTCTGAAAACTTAATATCAATGTAATCAATAATAGATTTCCAGCAATTACTATTATCTACTTCATATCCAAATCCTGGGGTATAAACTATCATGAGTAGTAAATGAACTCTACCTTCTTTGATTAAAACTTTGGATTGTTGCACTGATACAGTCTTTTTTATTCTAGCTGGAGAACGTGGATACTCTAAAGAATACAAATAGGTGAGAAATAGAGAGTTGAATAACGTTGGCTTTCCACATCCAGATTCCCTACTACCATAACTGTGAACTCAAAACCTCTCTTCACTGATTATCTTTATACTTGATTGTGGAGATTTGCAAATCCCACATAACTTTCAAGATTATTCCATTGAGCCATAGTGCTGCTTTTGATGCTCATCTCAGTATAAGTGGATCTCTCACTGACTGTCATTCTTTCTCCCTCAGCTAGCAGCCCTAGCACAGCTCAGCCAACAAATTTTCCAAAGCCTCCTACCAGATTCTGTGTCTTCGCCATGCAGCATCATTGCTCCACTTAGGCATTCCACAGAGGGCAGATTTACCATGGTATTTTTAGAAGCCTCATAAGTGTGTTAAAGTTGACCCTGAATAAAGAAGCCTAAATATTAATTGATTATTTTGAATTATAATGTTGTAGAAGAGTATGGTCTTCCAGAAGAACAATACAATCTGTCTTGCAAGAAATACATCTACAATTATCTTAAGAATAAGATGGCAAGACTTTGTCGTTCATACTTCAGACATGTTATCAGGAGGGAAAATCACATGAAGAAAGACATTATACTTGGTTAAGTGGAGGGTCAGACTCCCACCAAGATGAACTGACACAGAGGCAGCAACAATAGTCTCAAATGTAAAAATTGTGAGGATGGTTCAGGCCCAGGCTGTGTTTTGTTTTGTTGTGTACAATGTTGCTATGAGTTAGAAATGACTTAATGGCACATAACAGCAACAAAAACAACAAAATAAGCATGCCTGCAACAAATTATCCCTGTCATCTCTAAAGTCAGTGCAGTTGCCTTGTCATTCAGAGTTTCTAACACACTCAATATGTGGTTAGCACACTGTGTCTCTTGCACAGTAATACATGGCCGTGTCCTCAGAGCTCAGGCTACTTAAATCCATGTAAGGTGTGCTTATGAATTTTTCACTGGTCATGGTGACTCTGCCCTAGAACTTCTGTATGTAGCTTGTTCCCCCATTGCTAGGATTAATAATTCCGAACCACTTAAACCCATGTCCAGGGATCTAATGCACCTAATGCATATGCTAGTCAGTGAAGGCGTATGCAGATGTCTTGCAAGAGATGTTCACTGATGACCCAGACTTCTTCAATGCAACTCCAGATTGCACCAGCTGGACCTGGTGGTCACCTACTGAGAGTTAATTGGGGAGTATGAAATTCAATGTGAATACCCAAATCCCCTTCCCCAACCCTGGGACTGGGAAATGTTTTACCTGTAGTTGCTATAACTAACAAGATGACTCCAAAGCCCAGTCCAAGGTTAGACAGCTGTTATTCCAGAACATCTAATGGAGAGTGGTATGGTTGTTGGTTGGGATCTAGAAACACAGATATATCCTCATGCGATGTAGTAAACCTCAGATTATTTACATATTTGTGAGGCAGAATACTTAAGACTTCGGTCTGGGACGCATTTGAGCAACATTTTTATTTTTTATGATTTTCAAGACACACATCCAGACAAGCAAGGAATGCCAAAGATGCAAATCATGAGGTTTTGATTACTTAAGTCCAAATTGGGAACCTGGATCCTCTAGCACATCCTGAACCTCTGGGTGTGTGACACCACTCACACTGAGGAGTACAGTGAAGCAGAATAACCATGCTTCACTTTGTGTCATTTCTTATTCTGTCTGAAGGCAAATAAGACTTACAGGTAGGAAATCAAGGTTTGTCTTTGGATATGACACCACTACATTTCAGTTGGGTTGTTAGAGTGAAATTATACTCATATTTACCCTAGGTATAAGAGATCAAAACACTGTTGGGTCCTCTGCAATTCTCACATTCTTTTGCTTGAGCCACTGTGTCAGTTCATCTCACTGAGATTTACATATGACCTGCAGAAAAAAAGACTTATACTAAATCATTTATTATAATCCCACATTTTATTTAAAAAGGTTTCAGAATAGTTGTGTGTGAAAATAACAGGCCCTTGAATATGGAGAAAGGCAATAAATTTTCTCAAGAATGTAATTAAAACTCACAAATAAAGAAAATACTTAATGGTACACTGGTATTCTTTATGGATAAATCTGAAACTTCCATTTAAATATACGTTTCCCAGAACTTCTCATTAGCGTTGATTCCTCACACATACTTTCTTTGGGTAAGAGCTTGTAGCTTTTGGACAATCACTCCTCTTTTTCTTGGCAAGAAAATTTAAACCTTAATGAGGGTTGAAAACCTGTGGGAAGCACCAGAAAAGCAATTTTAGTTATAAAACTTAGTGCAAAAAGAATATTTCCTGCTTATCCTTAAGAGGATACTCACTAGCCTTCAGTGAACCACTACCAAACTCCCTACATCTACTCCATATTTTCAATAGTTTCTTAGTGCCCTCTGCAGGCCAGAGATCTCTTTGCAGGGTAGCTCATTTCCTGTACTCACACTGCCTTCCCTGTCTTGGTCTCTCACAGTAATTTATTGTCAAGTTCTCAGCTCTCATGCTGATCATTTCTAAATGGAAATCAGTGCTCTTTTTGGCGATTCTGCAAAGATTGAGGGTAGATAACTAGCGGTGGCGGTCTTCACATAGATGGAAATGTGGACCAGCTATTCCAGGCATGTGTTCAACTCCCTTTTCTTCAATATATGATCACTGTAGACCACTCTGATGTGAGTCAACACAGTGATAACTAGAGTAGGTGACACCCAGGGTCGAAATTCATGAAAAAATATTGCATTGGAAGAATAAATTGGATTAACCACACTCCTGAGTCTTAATACCTTGTGAAGTTTATTTCATTCTTGTGTATTGCACACAATGAAGTCCAGTCATTGTCATGTGTGAAGAAAAAAATAATTCCCATGAATAAGTCGTTGATCATGCAAATTCTACATGCAATATTTGGTATCCTTCCTATCACAAACATTGTATTTTTCAGTTATTCTTTCTTACCAACTTTTGAACTCTAATCACAAAGAATTATCACAAATCCTGACATACATTTTAGACTGTAACGTAGTTTGTTAAAACTTGAATTTAATTTTGACTTTCAGTTTTGCTGTGTCAATTTCAGTAACAGTGATATTAACTACTCTTCCTTGGAGCCATGTATATAATAACCTATCGCTCCTAGCATTATACTTTAGATTACATCAGGAAATGTTGTTTTGGATGTTGTATGTGATGCTCTTCCTCTTCAATTTGTCATTCCAATCACAGCAAGCTACTGCATTTGAATTAAAAATGCTCAACAATTCATCATTCCAGTTTACTTATGCCTATGATATCAATTTAAACATTCCATTTATTTATTTTCAAAAATTTTTGTGAATTATGTGGTATTTTACATGGGAGAACATTAGGTTTACATTCATCCTATCATATATCATTTCACTGCCATAGTTATAGTCCCCTTCATGCATCATCAACTAACCAAAGGGTACTCTGCAAGTGTGCCCCCACCCCCTGTTCATCAGCACATGGTCCCTCTCCCTCTCTGGGTTTAGAGTCCTCAGCTTCTTCATTTCTCCATGTCACCCTCTCTGCCTCCATCTCTGACATTACTGCTTCTCTGGGTAGGGTCTTGCTCTCTGCTCTTCTCCCTTGATGGTCCCAGGGACCTCCGTTCCTAGGCTGAAAAGTTAATCACTCCCCTCCTTGCTACAAAACGTCTACCTTTACATTTCCAATCCTCATAATCAGTCCTGATAACAATTATTCACTATTGTATCACAAGACCAATCCGTATTTCCTTTCATCAGCCCCGCCTAGAAAGATTGGATACTACTCAGTGGAGATTCTACCTTCCTCCATGTGTTATGGATCTAGGTTCCCTCTTGAAAGCTTGTAAGCCAGTCACTTCTTGCCTTTGTAGCTCCCCCACTTTTGGTAGCCATTGTCCAAGTTGCCTATCCCTTTCTGCTCTGTGTTTTGAGGGGGTGGGAATGATCCTAGCTGTAAAGACTTGTTCCATCTTTTGAGCTACTGAATCCATAGGTGTACGTCAAGTTCATCAAATTGTATCAAATTACTCTTTTTTTGCTCTTCTTTATTCTTCTAGTTGAACTCTAATCATCCAGTCATTGAAGCCTGGTCAAGTGAATATTATCTCCAAATGTGGATGTTCTGGTGCATATGCCCTCTCTTCTTATCATCTGGATGCTTCACTCTCCACTTTAGTCCTCTGTGGCTATGTCACTGACTCTGGGCCGAAGAGTTCCCAGGTCTTACCACACTGCAGGCCAACCAGGTCTCCACCCAGGCTCACAGGAGTCTATTGAGTGTTGTAGGGCTTAGCTTACAGCTTCATTCTTGTTTTTCCCTCACTTCCCCTAATCGGTAATGAACATGGTCACAAATCAGAGAATGTATTCCCATTGATTCTTAGTCTTGGAAGGGGTTGCTCTGAGGGGACCCGACTACTTGCCTTGATGTCTCCTGGGTGAGCGACTTGATTGTTCTTGTAGTAATCAGTCGGTCTGCCTATATTGTTTTGTATTTTTCCTGTTAGTCTTTCTTTCAAAAAGTATCTTCTGTTCTTCAAGCCACTACAGGCTGGTCTGCCCATCCTTTCAAGTGGAAATTTCCCATTTCTGAAGATTCTGGATACTGTTCAGGATTCCCCCTATAGTCTTTTGAAATGCAGAGGCTCCAAGGAAGCCTCCTCACTGGGCACATTGTAACCCCATTTTAGGTATTCCAATCAGCATCTGCTGCACAGGAACTTTTTAAAGTATTGAAGAGCAGAGATGTCAGCTTGAGGGCTAAAGTATGCCTGACCCAAGCCATAGTATTTTCAGTAACCTCATATGGATGCAAAAGCTGGACAGTCAATAAGGAAGATCGTAGAAGAATTGATGCCTTTGAGTTGTGGTGTTGAAGGAGAATACTGAAAGTACCATGGACTGCCAAAAGAACCAATAGATCTATTTTGGAAGAAGTGCAGCCAGAGTGCTCCTTGGAGGCCAAGATGGCTAAGCTTCGTCTCTCATACTTTGGACCAGAGGGAACAGTTGCTGGAGAAGGATGTCTTGCTGGGTAAGTTGGAGGGTCGGAGAAAAAGAGGAAGACCTCTAACAAGATGGATTAGCCAGGTGGCATCATTGATGGACTCAAGTGTGGCAGCTGTGGTGAGGTTGGCACAGGATCGGACATTGTTTCGTTCTGCTGTGCATGGCGTCGCTACGAGTCGGTTTTGACTCGATGGCACCTGACAACAAGGACCATTAGTAGAGGCAGAAGACAGGTTTACAAGATTTCTATGGTGGTATGTTGGACTAATTCTTTCTCTCCCTTTCCAGTGTCTATTTTATAATGGTATGCAAGGGAAACCAAGATTCAAACAACAGCCAAGCATCTTAATATTATTTCCCCCCTTTTGCCCATTCCATCCATGTCACAATTCCTGTAACCAGAGCCCTGTTTTTCCAAGATTGTGCATACATCATTCTTTACCTCTGTCCAACTTAGCCCATGCAAGCCTGTCTAATTGTTCTCCCATCTTTTTGTTCTTCCATTCCCTTCCTCCTACATTTATATTGTGCCCTCCCCAGCATCCAAACTATCCTGTATCTATTCCCTGCCCAGTGCCCAACCTTCATGTCCCTCCCCTCTCCCCACCCCCCACTTCCCAACAACCAGTAAAGAATCCTCCCCCCTTTAGTATGGGTTCTTTTTCTTAGTCTTTTACAGTAGTGGTCCTATGCAATATTTCTCCTTTTGTGACTTATTTCACTCTACATAATGTTCTCAAGAAGATCTGGTAGTGTAGTGGTTATGAATCAGACTGCGAACCGCAAGGTCAGCAGTTCAAAACTACCAGCTGCTCCGTGGGAGAAAGATGAGGCTTTCTACTCCCGTAAAAGTTTACAGCCTCAGAAACCCTGTACAGGGTCGCTATAGGTCAGAACCGACTCGATGGCACTTAACAACAACAACAATGTCCTCAAGGTTCATCCATGTTGTGTGGTGGCTTGCAGCTTCATTGTTATTCTTGAAGGTAGCAAAGCATTCCATTTTGTGTATGTACCACAGTTTGTTTATCCATTCTTCTATTGATGGGCACTTTGGCCATCTCCATCTTTTTGCTATTGTAAATAGTGCTGCTATGAACATTGGTGTGTATATATGTACTCGTGTGGTGGCTCTTATTTCTTGTGGGTAAATACCAAGTAGAAGAATTGCTGGATCATAAGATATTTCTATTTCCAACCTTCTGAGGAAGTGCCATATTGCTTTCCAGAGAGGTTGGACCATTTTGCAGTCCCACCAGCAATGAAGGAGTGTCCCAGTCTCTCCACATCCCCGC